CCCACAAGGCACAAACACCCCTGACAAGTAGCCTGACAGAGTGTAACTTACCAGAAATCAAACTCATCTTTCTTCTCTCTGTCCACCCCTTCCCGCCATTTCATTTCCAAAATAAAAATATTGCTCAAATGGGAAGTCTGAGGCATGCTGCAACCACTGAGCAGAGAATCAGTCTTAGAGGTAAGGGAGCTGAAACAAAATGCCCCAGAAAAGTTTGATGATGGAAGGTAGCAGAATATGCCACCCCAAGATATGCCACTTTGGCATAAAAATTATTTTGAACTGAAAGCAACTAAGAACCAGCATTTCTTATCAGCCCAGGGAGGCACCAGAGGAATCTGCAAACAGTCTTTACTCCATTAGTTTCCTCCCACATGTTTACCTGCCCACAATTTGCTGCCCTTGGAAGACTAAAACTACTTTCCTTTGTCCTGTCATTTCTCTGCAAATCTATTGTTCTTTGTTGAAGATGCTACATAAGCTGCAGTTGTAAGCTGCTGCTTTGAGTTATTCTTCATTTAAAGTTTCTCCTGCATGATGTGCATTGCACCTCTTAGCAAACTTTGTTTTTCTCTTGTTAACCAGTCTTTTTGTTAGAGTCTCAGCTGAAAACCTAAAATGGGAAGAGGTAAAGTTTTGCCTCTCTTACAATGAGAAACTCATTGAGAAAGTGTTTTGTAAACTATTTTTTTAAAGTCACAAAAATTCATTTAAAAATTGCTCACCAGGGTTTGGCCCGGTGGCCTAACGGTTAAGTGTGCACGCACCGCTTTGGCAGCCTGGGGTTTGCAGGTTTGGATCCTGGGTGTGGACCTACACACTGCTTGTCCAGCCATGCTGTGGTGGCGTCCCACATACGAAAAGTGGAGGAAGACTGGCACTGATGTTAGCTCAGGGACAATCTTCCTCACACACACACACACAAAAATTGCTCACCAGAATGAAGTAACAACACGTGTAGGGGAGGAAAAATTCTCCTCTACTCTCTTTGGGTCTCTGGCTGACTCTAAGAATTAAACTGACATAAGACAGATTAACAGGAGAAAAGCATACAAATGTTATTGAACTTTTACATGTTCATGTGAGCTTTCACAAGAGAATGAAGAACTGAAGAAGTGACCAGAGCAGGCAGATTTATACCTTTTAGATAAAGAAACAATAAATTTATGAAGAATTGACAAGACAGAGGGGTTTGGGCTATGAGAAGTAAATGGTGAAGAATAACAAGGTTTGTTTATACAGCCTTCTGGACTCTAAATTCCCTATTTCTGGTGATAAGGATGTTCCCCTTCCTCCTGGTATAGGGAGTGTAACTTTCATATGGGAGATTTATCTCCTGCTTTCAGGGAAAACATGCAAGAGGAGGGAAGTTAGAGTGACGTTCTTGCTTCTGAAGTTTACTCAAACTCCTTCAGCTTAAGATATTCAATATGCCAAGGCGCCATATTTTGGGGTAACGTGTCCTGAACCCCATCACCAGCTTCTAGAGGCTACCTGTGTCCCTTGGCTTGTAACACATTTCTCTAACTTCAAGGCCAGTAGCATAGCATCTTCAAATCTTTCTACCTCTGACCTCTGCTTCTGTTATTATGTCTCCTTCTCTATCTCTGACCCTCCTGCTTCTCACCTATAAAGCACCTTGTGATTTCACTGGGTCTACCTGGATAATAGAGGATAATCTCTCCATCTCAGTGTCCTTAGCTAGATCACATCTACAAAGTCCTTTTTGCCATGTAAGATAACATATTCATAGGTTTAAGGAGTAAGGTTGTTGACTTTTTAGGGGAATTATTAGCCTGTCTACCACAGATGCCAAAACTCATATGTGAAAATTTGAGAAGTAACAGGATATTTACATAACTTCAAAGTATCTCCCCACAAGAAACTTACTAATTGCAAAGAGTAAAACAGTAAGTTTATGGTGAAGTATGGTAGATACCATCTTAACCAAGTGATCAAAGTCATAATGGCCAGTAGTGGGATTAATCAACAGCATGTAAGCATGTATCTCTTTATATGATGCACTGAGAAGAACATCATTTCTGAGGCATTCCTGCCAAAAATGAATAATCTGGAAGTAATCATGAGGAAACATCAGATAAACTCAAACTGAGGGACAATCAATAAAATAAGTGGCCTGTACCCTTCAAAAATGTCAATGTGAAATATAAAGAAAGATTTAGGAGTCTTTATATAATATAATAAAAGATACCAAACCCACTTTCAGATGAAAGATAACTAAAGAAAAATGATAGCTGAAACAATGCATGACCTTGGGTATTCTTTTGATATGAAGGATATTATTGGAACAATTCGCAGAATTTGAATAAGGTATATAGATTAGGTAATCATATAATCACATATTTCAAACTCTGTCCACTTCACCCCACCTCCATTAACATTACCATTAAGTCCAAACCTGTATTTTCACCTGAACTTCTGAAATAGTTTCCTAAGTGATCTCCCTTCTTCTACTCTTGCCCTTGTCAAGGCAAACAACCAATAACCATTCTATAGATAGAAGAGACAAGGTGAATTTTACTTGAGCCAGGCTGAGGACTAAAATCCAGGAAGGCGGTCTCCATAAAGGAAGAAAGGATTCTGGAGAAGCATGGGAGGCCCCAGATGGCCTGCTTTCTGCTGGAGTCTCCTGCCTGTCCCATTCTCAGTCTTTGCTCTGAGTGCAGGGGCCTCTTCCAGTCCCTTCAATTAGTTAGTTTATTTCTGCTTTGGGGCTCCTGTGTTCACTATTCCTACTGCTCAGCACCTCTTCCCCCAGCACTCACAGGGCTGTTTCTTTCTTAGTCCTCAAGTCTCAGAAAAACAATCACTTCCTCCAGGAGGCCCTCCCTAACTTTGCCAGCTAAAGTAGTCCCTGCCCACCCTCCCCATTTCTTTCTATAGTATCACCCTATTTATTTCCTATGGCACCACACATTGAACATGCTTGACAAATTAAAGGTGGTAAATTTATTGAGAGTGAATGAATAAGTAAAGATACGAATGCAAGACTGAATAAAAGAAGTAGGGGCCAAGTTTTACACTATTTTAATGCTCCCATAGTGGCTAACACAGGATTGGGTTCATGACTAGTTTCAATAAATACTTAAAATATTTGAATTTTGGAATATTGAGAAGGCACCTTAAAGGTGAGGCATGATTTACGAAAAAAGTATGAATGAAAACTCTATTTTCCTTGAACAAAAAATATCACTTTATCACTGTGATAGACCTCACAATATCATTGTGAAATAGGAGTAAGTATATTTGCTGTGAGAATGCAAGGATACAGCATAAGTGGAAGTGTTTTTTAAACTGTAATAAAAGATATCAAACTCATTGAAAGCTTTATCTTGCAGAATACTGAAACCTTGAGAATCTGTAATTTGCTTAAGATGAATAGAGCCCATTATCAGCAGCACCTGTTCCCAACCCACAGTCTGGTGCTTTTAGTTAAAACTGTTCAAATAATATTATAATAACAGCACCACAAATAAAAACAACACATACACATACACAGTAATAACCCAGTCTTTCACCTTAACAAATCAGCAATTTCAATGTTCCTGATTCTTTCCAGAATGTGTCCACTTTTAACTGCAGTAATAAAATTCGAACGCTTGAAATACTTTTTTCTTCATCCCAGTTTTACAATTGGGTACTGAATTATGTTAAGTCCAATATACTACCCTTTAAGGCATCACTTTAGATGCCTGACCCAGTTCCAGGATCCTCCATCCTGGCTCTCAGAATATGTTTTGCAGATTTCTGGGGGGCTGTATTACACTTTCAAGGAGTCCACATGTTAATACTATTTCCATTGTCATCCTCATCCTCCTCATCATCATAAAACATGATTTCTGGTGTTTGCTCTCATTATCCCACTAGTGCCCAGTGAAGTTTCCTAGAGCCTCCATGACCTGTGATATCCCAACACTAAATACAGAAGGAGATATGAGGATCTAGACATCTTCTACTAAGCCAGACATTAGATTTTTGCATTAAAGAATATCATACTTCTCAATAAAGCTTACTTGGCTTTGTAAACAATACTTATTTTTCATAAAATGTTTTTATATTAACCTATAATTGGTTTATTATTGCTATTATAATGTAAATTAATAAATATATTTTTTGATTTCTCAGTTTCAATCTCCAATGCCATAAGCATTGAGAGATATAACCCGAACAAACAAAAGCTCTTTGAGGTCCTCAATAATTTTCAGCATCTAAAGGCAGCCTGAGGCCAAAAAGCTGGAAACCGTTTCTCTCCCCACTGAACCCGAACCTTGTGGTCCATTTGGTCCAGTATCCACCTGCTCAGCAGGGACCTGAAACCTTAGTCCACACTCAATAACTGAGTAGTGACTCCTCGTTTATTGCAGGGACACCCGAGCCAGGCCAGATCCAGATGTGTCTTCATCCTTCATCCTTCTTCATCTCAGTTCTAGGCCTGGGGAGCTTTCTGCGTGGTCTGGAAATCTTGGGGGTTGGTTGGAAATGGACCATCAGCTCCTGGGGTCCCTCAGCTGTAACCGTGGGGCTTAACCCTGCCACAGCCTGGTCCCCCTCCCACCTCTCTGGTCCTGCTTCTTCTGTTTCTGACCTCCATTTGTGGTTTTCCCTTCCTCTCTTACATCCTAGTGTATCCTGTTGTCCTCACCCTGAGTCCACAGCGTCTGATGTCAACTCTAGTATCAGGCTGAAGGTGTCTCTCTGATGTTAAAGAGGCATGTTTTCTGCCTGTTACTTTCTCACATTTTCTTCTTGGTTGGGAGCCATGTGGTAGCAATAGTTTCCCTGAGACTCGACCATGCCCCAATGGTTACAAGCAAATGAGTTACTAAAGCAACAGCCTAATGAGGGAGAGATGGTACTGGGGCCTGAAGAGGGTGTCAAGGGGGCTCTGGAGGAGTTTTTCTTATGTGACCAGAGGGAAGGAGGGCCCATTTCTTTCCACGGGGTGCTGTGCTGTGGTAGTCGAGATGGCCACGGCTTCTCTACTCGGCTCTGAGACCAGGGAATTGGTCCTGGTAGGTGTGCTGGGTCGCTGTCCTGTGAAGGATCAGGCCACCCTCAGGCACTGTGACCCCCTGGGCCCCTGTGAATGCCGGGCAAAGGAAGAGGGGGCTGTCATCAGACCCCAGCCTGAAGAAGGGTCTCAGGGGCCCAGAGAAGGGCGAACGGGGACATGTGTAGATGTGCGATCTGTCCCTCATGTTATAGAAGGAAACATCTCCAGCTTCACAGTCCAGGAAGATGCCCACCCGGTAAAGGTGCTCTGTCAGGGGGAGAATCTTATCGGGAGAGGACAGGGCCCGGTACTGGTTTCCAAACATCTCCAAGGTCCAGAAGCCATTCTGAGGAATCAGTAGGGCCTCCCCTTTCCTCTCAACGCTGTCTCTACAAACCCCCACAGCCCACACCATCACGTTTTTGACCTCCACCTCCCAGTAATGTCTCCCTGAGAGGAAGCTCTCCAAGCCCAGGACACAAGGCCGACAGTCAAATCTCTCTGGGTTGTCAGGCACACTCTGCCTGTAGGGGCCCCGTCTCACGCTTCTCTGGTCCTCTGACAGGAAGAGCTCAGGATGAGCAGTGTCCGGGTCCAGGACCACGTCAGCTGCAGAGGAAGTCTCAGGTTAGGCCTGGGGTCTCAGGAGATTGTGCAATTCCTGCTCCCCAGAGAGGTCCCAGAAAGCTGATGGGAGATCCCCCACGTGGCAGCCTTTTCCATGAAGGCCCCTTGATCCCAGATCCCAGGCAGCTCAGAGACTGAGAATTACTGAGTCTGATCTTGTATCTCTTAAGTGACAGGCACTTTGCCTCAGGTAGAGGATAATTGGGGCTCTAAGAAATGCAGAAAGTTTAGCAAATGAGGTGAAATTAATGGCTCCCACTTTCCCTCAACATTCTCAGATCTGCCCCCTTTTCTATTCAAGACATATGATCTCTGAGATTCTCTGTAGTTAGAAACTTTCCCATTAGTCTTAAATGAGCAAAGAGGTCCTAGCCGTCTCCCAAGGAAGCAATTAAGTCTAATTTCTCCCTAAACAGGTTGCTGGGCAGTAAAGGGTCCCTTCATTGGTCCTCTGTGTTCCACCAGTTTAACCAGATGACAACTGATTTAAATGACTAACAAGGGCTCCCTTCACAGGGTAAAAAAGGAGGACAATGTCCCCCAACCTGCTGCCTGAGAGGTGTGTATGGCAAAGGGTAGGGGGAACTATTTCCATCCAGTTTTGCTTTAACAGCATGGGTCTGAAGTCTGCAGCTCTGACCTCTCTGGATGTAGGAAATGCTTCAGACCCTGACATTCTGCAGACTCTCCCATCTACAGTTATTGTTACTTAGTCAATCTACATTGCTATTGTGTAATAATGACTTTCTCCTTTCCCCAAGTTGATATATCTGACTGTGACAATTTTGAAATTCAAAAGAGGAAGGAGGAAAGGTCCGAATGCCATAATAACTAGTAAAGCCTGGATTCTTCAGTGCTTTTAAGCAGAAGGTGACAAATCATAAGATGCAAAGTGCTCATTAGGACCAGGCAAGTGGATTCCCTGCTCTCCCACTTGCCCATCTCCCCTCCCCTCAAAGGCTACACACAAAATATCAGTGTTCTCTTGGAGCAGGAAGGCATTTCTGGCACCAGTCTGTGCACCTCTGAGACAGGCTGGGAGAAGCTTATTGCCTTTCCCACACATAGCTCTTCAACTGTGCAGTCTACACCATCTCCCAGGTTATAAATAGCTAAGCCAGTACTGTCTTCTTTCAAATTAATCCAGGATCCACAGAACAATAGCTACTACAATGTATCCTTTGGGGAGGTCCACTATGAATGGGAGACCTCTATAATTATGGATTAAATTATTCTGAAAAACAAAGTTTGGTGGGAACTAAGCCATAGAATTGATTGAGAGCTGTGGGGATTCCCTGACAGAAGAGCTGGGATCCCGCATTGGGTGGGATACCGCTAGTGAACAAGCCCAGCCCCCTCCTATGCCCAACCAGTTGTGGGCTCCCTTGTTTATATCCTCTAATGTGTCTTGTTGGCTAGAAGTGCGGAGAAACCTCAGGATCTGGGGAAATGTCAGAGGTGCTCACCAGCATGTAAGAGGGTTCTTCTCCATCCTGCAAAGGGACAGAGAGAGAGGTGAGCTTCACGAGATAATGGCTAACCAAGCAGAAGACAAATTGTGCCTGGAGTAGTTCAGGAAATGCTAAACTTACGCAATTCCTCTTCAAGTTGCTCTGAAAAAAATAAACAGAAACAAATGAATGTCCACAATTGAGGAAGTAAGAGAATCTGAGTTTGTATTAAATGATGAAGGACTGGCCCTTTCTATGAACACCACCATCCCCTCTCCCCCCTGCCCAGGGAATTGTCAAGTTACCGGAAATGATATATGATCAGGTGGATGGAGATTATCAGTACTGACTTAGGTTTGCTTTTGTCCAACAATATAGTGCTCCACATAGCCAGGTGAATGGATGCAACATTTGCAGAGTGGAAGCAAGCAAGCTCTGAGGATTCATTCCTAGGATCTGAGAGTTCCAAGCCCTTCCTCTGCCTCTATTCATGTCCTCTCTCTGTTTCCAAGGCCTCTAGCTGTCAGAGCTGTGTCCTTTGTGTGACAGTGAACTCTCCTCCTACTCTTTTACCTTTTATGTGATGTTCTTTCTCTTTTTCACATGTTCTTTCCCCAGTTCCTTACGTGCAATTTCTTTCTCTTCATTTTCAACCTCTTTTTCCCCTGAGAGAATCTCTTTTTCCCTGTGGAGTTTCTTAGAAAGACAGATGATCCCAGCGATGAGGAGGAGCAGAGTAGGCATGATGACAGCCAGGACCACCATCCAGGGAGATGTGCTGGGAGTAAAGGATTCTGAAAAGGGAGCCAGAAAAGTCCCATTTAGTAAGAAAAAGGAGACCCAAAATGAGATCACCCCTCAGGACTCATATCTAAAGAGCTCCCTTAGGTCCCTGCTCTGTTGGCTTCTCTCTCAGAAACCCAGATAGAGAAAGAGTCACCCACAGTGATTGCCAGGGCTGGGGTCCCAGGAGACAAAAAAGCAGAAACACCTGGAGTCACCATGAGAAGGACTAGGGTGAATAAAATCTAACCAGCCGTGCTGGATGACCACGACCATCATCCTGGAACAAGCCACCATCACTTCTTGCCTGGAATATTGCAACGTCCTCCTCCTGCTTCTGCCCACACTCTCTACAGTCTATCCTCAGCACAGCAGCCTAAGTGAGATCGTGTTATTTCTTTTTCTTTTTCTTTTTTTTTTTGTGAGGAAGATCAGCCTTGAGCTAACATCCGTGCTAATCCTCCTCTTTTTGCTGAGGAAGACCCGCTCTGAGCTAACATCTATTGCCAATCCTCCTCCTTTTTTTCCCCAAAGCCCCAGTAGATAGTTGTATGTCATAGTTGCAAATCCTTCTAGTTGCTGTATGTGGGACACGGCCTCAGCATGGCCGGAGAAGCAGTGCGTCAGTGCGCGCCCGGGATCCGAACCCGGGCCGCCAGCAGCAGAGCGCGCGCACTTAACCTCTAAGCCACGGGGCCGGCCCTGTGGTGTTATTTCTTTGCTAAAAACCCTGCAATGTTTCCTATCCCATTCAAACTAAAAGCCAAAGTCCATTTGTGGCCTATATTGACCCATATGATCTGGACGTATTGCTTCTCTGAATTCATCTCCTTCAACACTCCCTGCACTCGATCCATTCAAGCCACACCTGCCTCTTGGGGTTCCTTGAAACTGCCAGACATACTCCTGCCTCAGGCCCTTGGCGTATGCTGTTCCTGCTACCTGGCTTCCTCGGTCCTCAAATATCTGCATGGTTCATTCCTCACTTGCCCAATTGCCATGTTTTACGTGAAGCCTTACCTGACCATCCTGTTTATAATTACAACTCCCCCATAGCACTCTCTATCCTCCCCCTGATTAATTTTTTCTACAGTACTTATCACCATCTGATATAATCCACAGTTTAATTAATGATTTCACTTCTTGTTTAATTACTTCATTTATTGCTTTCTGCCACTCTATAATGTGAGCCCCATGAGGGCAGGGATTATCGAGTATTTTGTCCCATGATTTATCTTCCATTTCCAGAACAGAGCCTTGAACATATATAATGCTTTGTTAAGTATTTGTTGAACGAATTGATGAATGTCTATAGATAGAGAACTTCCCTGCTCTGTCACTTGGGAAATCCCATGGGTAGGAAGGGAGGGATTCAGCAGGCAGCACCTCTGGGTGTAGATAGACACCCACCCACACCACTCTCTGTGGTTTATGATTCTTCTAAATGTTTAAAAATTGCTGCAGGATAAGGACCATAACACAGAAATAATGATCAGATTTACCCTCAGAAGAAAGGCTCTTACCCATGTGTTTTGAGACTATTTGATTTTCCTCTTGTGACAAGGGAAGAGGCCTCAACTCAGCTGCAGCCTCCAGCCCTTCAGAGCCTAGGACACTTCCACCCTATGCCCTTCCCTCCCCAACCCCACTCTAGGCTCCAATCTGTCTGCTGAGGATCCTGCCTCCACACAATGGGCTCCAGAGGGCAGGGAACTCACCTGGAATTAAAATCACAGTTTCCTTCTCCTGGCCAAGCAGGGTGTTGTTGATGGAGCAGGACACGTTCCTCACAGAGAGGTCCCTGATAATCACAGCCACGGTGACCATGAAGAGGCTGTCTGCGTCCACAGTGTAAGCCTCCTCCAGGGCAGGCAAGATCTCACCATAAGGGTCCCTCCAAAACACTTGGGGCTCTGGGTACCACCCTACAGATGTGCACTCCAGCCGGATGCCCCCGTTCTCATGGCCTTTCATTTCAATGAGGGGCTTAGAGCCCAGGCCTGAGGAGAGAGACCAGGGCTCAGATAACAATGCAATGGTGTCTTAGCCAAAGTGTCTTAGAAGAACAGCTCTTAATGGTGAAAGCCAAGGGAAGGGGGGAGAGAGCAAGGGTCCAGCACCCAGAGAAATTTATTACCCATATTCCATGCATTCCTGCAGTACCTCTTCTGTGAAGGGAGGAAGGAAGGAAAGAAAGGAGGGAGGGACAGAGGAAGGAAGGAAGAAGGGAAAGAAGAAAACCTTGATGTTGGAGAACACCAGGAGACCAATATGCCAAATAAATTATGAGATCTCTAAGGAGAAAGGATTACATTGCACTTTTCTTTGTGCTCCTCCTACAGACCACATCACAGTAGCAAGCACCTGCCTCCCAATAAATGTTTGTTGATTCATTCAGCTAGAGGTTTTAATGTTCTCACTTCTGTGAGGGTGTGTCCACTCTGACCTGAAAGAAGCAGGTTCAGGATCACTTTTGGCCCTGGGAGGACTTTTCAGAAGCCTTGGCTTCCTGAAGCTCTAGGTTAATATGGTAAGGACAGAAATCTGCAAGGCTCACAGAATCTTAAGAAACTTTTTCACCTCAAGACCATCACCTTAGGAAACTAACATGAGTGACGAATAGGCAGTGTCTTATTTGTTGATATGAGTAGTGGTTATATGGACTATAATTTGTAATAAGTCAGTAACCTGTACATCAATGTTTTATGAATTTTTCTGTATGTGTATTGTAGTTCACAATAAAATGTTTAATTCTAAAACATGTTACTGAGGACGACCCTCAGAGATCTCCAGGAAGTAAACATAAGAATAATCTGTAGGGATTCAACATTCTCCCCTGTTCAAGGCTACAACTGAGTTCTGTGTGTGCTTCTCAAGAGGGGATGCCCACAGCTAAGCAGGGCAAATCCACTCATTTGGCCTATGGGCAGGAGGAAGCCACCCTCCCTGTGTGAAGGGGACTTTAAGCAAATATCGGCTGGTCTGCCATGGGCCCGAGGTTAGGAGAGAATCTTTCCCAAGAGTCACACTGTGAAAAAGCAATGGAACAAAATGAAACGACACACCTGCCACCATCAGGCGCATGATGGCCTCATCGTAGGATTTGCCTTCTTGGAAATAGCAGTGGTAGATGCCATTTTCATGGGCTGTGATGTTGTGGATGATCAGCCCCATGCTCCCCTTGCTGATCTCTTCCTTCATAAAGGTTGTTCTTCCTCGGTACTCCTCCATCTGCTCCTCTGTCCTCTCTCGCCCGCCCTTATACACAAGCACCGCGGGGGAGAACTGAGACCTGAACCACCGCACCTCCATGTCCTCAGCACTTTTCTCAGGTGACAGGTGGCAGCGTAATGTGCTGTTTCCTCCCACCATGGCCAGGATTGGATCAGCTGGCCCCACGACAGTAAATTGGTCTGTTCCACAAAGGGGTAGAATCAGACAGGGGCACCAGCATCACATATCTAAGACAGGAAAGGAAGTGCACATTCCAGGGCACAGACAAATTCCTTCTCTATTTCTAATTATTCTCTCAAACATATTCTTTCTAAGGCCACAGAGACTCCCTGGACTGAAGATTCTGGGGGCCAGTAGCTGTGGCTGGTCAGCAGCAATAGGTACCTAGTAGGAGTATCTACTGAGGCTGCTGATGTTTCCTGAACAAAACACTGAGAAGCATACACTGAGCACCCCCTACTGACCCTGTGCTCAGAGAGGTGTCCTTCCATTCCCCAATCTAGCACAGTGCTTGGAGTGGAGGATAAATTTGAGCTGTCCCATATGGTGGCAACTAGCTAGTCCCAATGGCAATGTGCTGTAAATGGAAAATACACACAATTTTGAAAATTTATAATAAAAATATTAAATATCTTACTGTTAACATTTTACAATAATTAAAATTTAAATAATAATTTTTGGTTTTGGGAGTTAAACAAAATATATTAAAATTTGTTTCATCAGTTTCTTTTTTACCTTTTTAAATATAACTAAAAATTTTAAAATTGTGTACGCAGCTGGGCTTTGTGGCTCTCATTGCATTTCCATGGGACGCGCTGGTATAAATTCAACGAGCATGTGCAGAAGGAAAGGTTGAGTAAACACAACTGCAGTACTTCTTCAGATTGCAGTGTTTTGCAGACTGAAGTGTTGCTATACTTTCTGAGAAGCTGATAGGAGCTAGTGGCATGGACCCTACCTGAGACCAGTGCAAACAAGCTGAGGAGGAGGAAGATGAGAAGGGAGCCTGGCAGAGAGAAAGGCAGGGAAGCAGCTGGCTCCATAAGCACCAGAGATGAGTCACTCAGGAGGGGCAGGGACCAGACACCTAGGGGCACAGAATGGAGCAATCAGCCAAGGAGACTTGGTACCACAGTTCTGATCGAGGTCAAACTTTCCTGTAATCTGTGTTGGTATCGTCAGCACCCCACTTCGGTCTTAGGCAGCCCCCTTCCTCTCCCGGTTCAGGTGTCTCCCGATAGATTGATTCAGTGAACATTCCATGGAATAAGCCAACAATACAGGGATCAGGAAGGCAGTTTTCCGCCCTCCTCAGCTCACTTCTCTGGCCAGAGTTGAGTTTCTTCAGTTGTCACTTCATACTCTTCCATACCCTCCCTCCCTTCCCTTCCTCCTCCCCGCAAATCAGGCTTTGTGACCTGAGGTAAACCCAGTCATGGAGAGCCTCCCCAAGAGGAAGCTTCCCCTCTCCCGCCTTTCTCCCATCAGGTTCCCTTCCTCTACTTACCGCCCCACCTGCACCGCAGAGCTGTGGCGCTTCCCCTCCCTTTCCTACCGTCTAGAATTAACTTCTTGGGTTTCTTTTCTCCTCTGACGCTTAAATGATGATTTTCCACGATCCCTCTTCTCTTTAACCCGCTCCTGGGCACAGTCACAACCGGAGAATACACTATCTGGAAAGCAGAGAAGAAAACTTTCTTACTTTCCCATTAGTTGCAGTGCGAGGGGCTGTGGGACCTGAGACCCGGTCCACTCTGTGACCGCTAAGTCCGAATATTTCCAGAGTGGTTTAGAGCTCAGGATTGGTCGGCTGTGGGTCAGCCAGCCAATAGTATCCCTGAGACTGCTGTCTCATCAGTTACTAAGCAAAATACACAGAAAGTTTGAGAATTAAAATCCCACAGCTGCGAATAGGCTTTTGAGATGATTTAGCCTTTTTATTTACTTTTTCTGTCTTCAGAAGCAAGATATTTTTCTTTATTTTTGCAAAACCTTGAGATTCCCCGCGCGTTTTGGCCGTTGCGGCTAACCAGGAGAGGCCTCTGAGTGTAGAAGTGTGTATGTAATAGAGGATGGGGTTGGGGGTGGGGGTGGGGATTAGGTAAACATAAACAACCTGCTTTCCAAAGCCTGAGAGATCTTGTTCAAGTTTTTCTGATTGTGGGGGCAGTGGAAAGATAAGGGGGGACACAGGGAGGGGTTGGAGGGGTAGAGAACGAAGCAAGACAGCAGCCGCAGTGGTAGACTGTAGACCGTGTTATTCATTCAAAAACCATTGAGGGCGAGATGCTGAGGATACTGAGAGGAAAAACCCCTTTCTCTCTCAGGGAGGTGGCATTCTAGTGGGGACAGGAAGATGGCAGCAAACAAAGACTTTCTAGTTGGGCTTCATCCTCTGCCAGTAGATGGACTGGTTGAATCCAACACCCCCCTACACCCACACAATGCTCCCCTCCCATGCCCCACAGACCCCAATCAGACCATTGTAAAGATTTCTTCTAGAATAATCTTCCTGAGACACATTTCTTCACATTTCCCTCAAGAGCCTAAATGTTTCCCCTGGAGGCCCTCAATTCCTTTCTCTGTTTTTAAATGTTTGAATTTTTAAAAATTATTTTATTGAGGTCATATTGGTTTACATCGTTGTGTGATTTCAGGTGTACATGATTATATATCTGTTTCTGTATAGACTGCATCGTGCTCACCACCAATAGTTTAGTTTTTATCCATCACCATACATATTTGCCCTTTTACCCTTTTCACCTACACTCCCTACCCTCTTCCTCTCTGGTAACTATTAATCTGTTCTCCTTATCCATGTGTTTGTTTATCTTCCACATATGAGTGAAATCATATGGTGTTTGTCTTTCTCTGTCTGGCTAATTTCGCTTAACATGATAGCCTCGAGGTCCCTCTATGTTATTGCAAGTGGGACAATTTTGTCTTTTTTATGGCTGAGTAGTATTCCATTGTGTATATACACCACATCTTCTTCATCCATTCATCGGTTGATGGGCACTTGAGTTGCTTCCACATCTTGGCTATTGTGAATAATGCTGCAATGAACATAGGGGTGCATAGATCTCTTTGTATTGTTGATTTCAAGTTCTTTGGATAAATACCCAGTAGTGGGATAGCTGGATTGTATGGTATTTCTATTTTTAATTTTTTGAGACATCTCCATAATGTTTTCCATAGTGGCTGCATCAGTTTGCATTCCCACCAGCAGTGAATGAGGGTTCCCTTTTCTCCACATCCTCTCCAAAACTTATTTCTTGTCTTGTTAATTACAGCCATTCTGACGGGTGTGTGGTGATATCTCATTGTAGTTTTGATTTGCATTTCCCCGGTAATTAGTGGTGTTGAACATCTTTTCATGTGCCCGTTGGCTGTCTGTATATCTTCTTTGGAGAAATGTCTATTCATATTCTCTGCCCATTTTTTGATCTGGTTGTTTGTTTTTTGGCTGTTGAGTTGTATGAATTCTTTATATATTTTGGAATTAACCTCTTGTTGGATATAAGATTTGCAAATATTTTTTCCCAGTTGGTAGGTTTTTTCATTTTGCTCATGGCTTCCTTTGCCTTGCAGCAGATTTTTAGTCTAATGTAGTCCCACTTGTTTTTTTTTTTTCTTTTATTTCTCTTGCCTGAGTAGATATGGTATTTGAAAAGATGCTGCTAACACCAATGTCAAAGAGTGTACTGCCTATATTTTCTTCTAGGAGTTTTATGGTTTTGGGTCTTACATTCAAGTCTTTAATCCATTTTGAGTTAATTTTTGTGTGTGGTGTAAGATAATGGTCTACTTTCATTCTTTTGCATGTGGCTGTCCAGTTTTTCCAATACCATTTATTGAAGAGACTTTTCTTTCTCCATTGTATGTTCTTGGCCGCTTTGTCAAAGATTAGCTGCCCACATATGTGTGGTTTTATTTCCGGGATCTCAATTCTGTTCCATTGATCTATGTGTCTGTTTCTGTGCTAGTACCATGCTGTTATGATTACTATAACTTTGTAGTATATTTTGAAGTTAGGAATAGTGATGCCTCCAGCTTTGTTCTTTTTTCTCAAGGTTGCTTTGGCTCTTTGGGGTCTTTTGTTGTTCCATATAACTTTTAGGATTGTTTGTTCTATTTCCATGAAGAATGTCTTTGGGATTCTGATTGGGATCACATTGACTCTTACATTGCTTTAGGTAATATGGATGTTTTAACTATATTTATTCTTCCAATACACGAGCATGGACTATCTTTCCATTTCTTTATGTCATCTTCGATTTCTTTCAATAATGTCTTATGGTTTTCCATGTATAGGTCTTTCACTTCCTTGGTTAAAGTTTATTCGTAGATATTTTCTTCTTTTTGTTGCTGTCGTAAGTGGGGTTGTACTCTTGACTTCTCTTTCTACTAATTCATTATTAGTGTATAGAAATGCAACTGATTTTTGCAAGTCGAATTTGTACCCCGAAACTTTGCTGTAGTTGTTGATTATTTCTAATACTTTTCTGGTGGATTCTTTAGGATTTCTATATGTAGAATCTTGTTGATGGCAAACAGCAAGAGTTTCACTTCTTCCTTTCCAGTTTGGATATCTTTTTTTTCTGGATAATTGCTCTGACCAAACCCTCCAGTAGTATGTTGAATAGGAGTGGTGAGAGTGGGCAACCTTGTCTTTTTCCTGTTCTCAGAGGGATGGCTTTCAGTTTTTCACCATTTAGTATGCTGTTGGCTGTGGGTTTGTTATATATGGCTTTTATTATGTTGAGGTACTTTCTTTCTATACCCATTTATTGTGAGTTTTTTTCATAAATGGATGTTGGATCTTGTCAAATGCTTTCTGTGAATCAATTGGGATGATCATGTGATATTTGTTCCTCATTTTGTTAATATGGTGTACCACATTGATTGATTTGCAGATGTTGAACCATCTCTGTGTCCCTGGTATAAATCCCACTTGATCATGGTGTATGATCCTTTTAATGTCTTGCTGTATTCTATTTGCCAATATTTTGTTGAGGCATTTTGCATCTATGTTCATCAGTGATATTGGCCTGTAGTTTTCCTTCTTTGTGTTGTCCTTGTCTGGTTTTGGTATTAGGGTAATGTTACTCTCATAGAATGAGTTAGGAAGCGTTCCATATTCTTCAATTTTTTGGAATAGTTTGAGAAGGATAGGTATTAAATCTTCTTTGAATGTTTGGTAGAATTCTCCAGAGAAGCCATCTGTCCTGGACTTTTGTTTTTTTGGAGGTTTTTGATTACTCTTTCAATCTCTTTACTTGTGATTGGTCTATTCAGATTCTCTGTTTCTTCTTGATTCAGTTTTGGGAGGTTGTATGTGTCTAAGAGTTTATCCATTTCTTCTAGATTGTCCAATTTGGTGGCACATAGTTTTTCATAGTACTCTCTCATAATCCTTTGTATTTCTGTGGTATCTGTTGTAATTTCTCCTCTTTCATTTTTAACTTTATTTATTTGAGGCTTCTCTCTTTTTTTCTTAGTAAGTCTGGCTAAGGGTTTGCCAATTTTGTTTATCTTCTCAAAGAACCAGCACTTAGTTTCATTAATCCTTTATATTGTTTTTTTTAGTCTCTATTTCTGCTCTAATTTTTATTATTTATCTCCTTCTACTGACTTTGGACTTTGTTCTTCTTTTTCTAGTTCTGTTAGGTGTAGTTTAAGATTACTTATTAGAGATTTTTCTTGTTTGTTGAGGTAGGCCTATATTGCTATAAATTTTCTCTCTTAACTCCGCATTTGCTGCATCCCATGAGAGTTGGTATATTGTGTTTTCATTTTGATCTGTCTCCAGGTATTTTTTTATTTCTCCTTTTATTTCTTCAAAGGAGCATGCCTGTTCAGTAGCATGTTGTTTAGTCTTCACATTTTTGTGACTTTCTCAGCCTTTTTCTTGTCATTGATTTCTAATTTCATAACATTGTGCTTGGAAAAGATGCTTGATGTGATTTCAATCTTTCTAAATTTATTGAGGCTTGACTTGTTTCCCAACATATGGTCTATCTTTGAGAATGTTCCATGTGCACTTGATAAGAATGTGTATTCTTCTGGTTTTGGTTGGAACGTTCTAT